CCGTAAAAACGAGGCAGAAGGTGGAAGAGGGTCCGGAGCAGAAAATCTACATCTGCTCGGACAGCCAGACAGCACTCAAGGCAATCTGCCACCTCAGACCAAGTTTGGCACTGGTACTGGAGTGTGGAGATGCACTTGAAAAACTAGCCGAATCGAAAGATGTTGAACTAGTGTGGTTGCCAGCCATAGAGGAGAACCCGGTAACGAAATAAGTTCCAATTGCCCCCAATCAATGGGCGATCGCAGCAATGCGTGAACACTGGAGGAATATGACCAGCTGGTCCAGCTGCAAACTTCGTGACTGGACCAAGTATAGCAAGGACGGCATGGTTAATGGGCAGGGACCGCAAGTACTGCACGTTCTCATAGGTGTGCTCACAGGACATAACGCTGATAGATGTAAAAGATAACCCCAGTTGCTGCAAGTGTGGAGAAGACGTTGAAGAAACGTTATACCTCTACCTGGACCAGTGTAAGACGTATGGATGACTAAGATTCGGAATCTTTGGTGCTGATAGGACCTTCATTTTGTCCTGAGTTGTATATTTTATGCTATTCCAAATGCTGCTTAGTATGGCAAAGTAACCTCGAGATTGAAAAAAAAACAAAAATTCGTCAAATTATCGAAATAATGTTTTGAAATCCTGTAAGGATATCGATAACAGGAATGTTAAGGTCACTGCTATGAAGATATTCAAATGAAACATGTCCGGAGATACGGAATCAACTGTCGCACATACACAAAAACTCCCGCAATATAGGCAGTTGGTTTCCGGCACCTAGAGCTCTAGCCTATCGAGCAATCTTAAATCTTCTGATACCAGACTAACAGAGGTTCCTGGAAATCCGTTAGACGTCAAGGATTAACAGTTGGGGAATGAACATTTTCTTCAGTTTTTTCACGAACTCATGGCAAAGTTACCTGGAGATGGAGAGTCCCCGTTTCACGGTACTGCTTCTGCAGTTATTCTCAACTTGCTACCAGTGAAATCCAGAAATCTTTATGATGCAGCTTATACTCGCTTCGAGAATGGTAATCCGAAAAGAAAGCGCAGAACTATGCGGAAAATGTAGTTTTGGTATAAACTCCCTAGGGATAATAATACGCCACTTCTGCCCCTCTTTTGTTACCAGAGAAACTAACTTCTACTCCCGCCGGCGTAAAAACACACTTATTGATTGTTATCACGCTGGGAGACGATGCTTTATTGTCTTCATCTGGGAGTTGATTAACAAGACTCTGATATACTTGCATTAGTATTCAGTGCATGGAATAATCCACTATAGAAAGATCTAACAAATCTTCCCTGAGTTGCTACTATTTGAAGGCTGTCGAGCGACGAGCGTCGAAGAAGCGATATAGTGTCACCAATGATCTATCTAAGATATTTGCACAATATGTTCAATACTGCATATCTATAGCTTCACAATTTCCAAATCATCATGTGATATATTTCAAGAATCAACTAACATTTGATTCGATACATTATATTTTCTCGAAATTGTTTACACTGTACACTGTTACATTCTTCAAATGAGTTTGGGGTTTTCAGGTGACAATTTTGACATCAGCTACATCATTAATCGATGAGCCAGAATTCAAGTCTTGAGTGAATAATATTGGCACCATATTTCATGATTCATGCCCGGTTTCGATTCATTCAGTCACTGTTTAACTAGCTAGGTGTAATTTTCAAGCGTGTTGCAAGTGTTTCTTCTAATCCATTTGATGTTTTTTATGGCTCGATATTTCATAACCTCTCGACATTTTCACACATGACACTGTACACGTTATTATATAAAACTGATATAGCATTGCTATGAAGTGTTGATTCAATCGGAGTTGGCTCTGAAATCGTCTCGATTGAAATAAAACCCATATTATATGTCCTACTGTGTATGTGATAAATAGTTAATAGTCGTGTTTCTGTGAAGATACATGTTTTCTCATCGATGAATATTCAAGTAAGGTCGAGGAAAACGTCAGAGGGAGCAATTGCTGTATCATCAATCAACCCAGAGCATCCATGCTGACACAGGAGTGTTCGTACTTAATTACCACCTGAGTGCCTGATGCAATGGTCAATTAGCCAAACTAAACTAGAGAATGGCAAAGTAAACAGACCTCACGCTTCACTACACTTCTATTCTAGTTTCCAGTTAATTATGCTCACCAGAGAGATACACACTGCATCAAGTATCATCATCCTCGTACAATAAGTTTCAGTTGGAAACTCTTTTAAATATACTGTGTGTGTAACTTGATTCAACACTATTTTGAATTTCAATTATTCGATCAGTATAGAGAGGAATTTATTATACGGGTTCTCCATTTGAAGAAGCTATACTATACAGGGTGTCCCGAAATTATATAGAAAATTTCAATAACAGATTCTAGGAACAAGAATAGTAAAAGTTCATATAAACATGAGCCCAGATATGCGCTTCTGAAGCACTCACCATTTTCGAAATCAATTGACTCGAAAAATAGTACTTTTTCTTAGTAGGGTACCTACAATAATATATAATAATTTTCAGTTTTTTTTTTATTATTCCTGTCATATTCTGAATCTAACATCACATGAAGATATTGAAAGAAGGATATTTTTTTGTTGGAAAGAAATATTCTCAGATAAATTATGAACTTACAAAAATGGATATATATTTATATAATGCAATACAATAGCATACAATATCAACTCTTTCTCACTTTATTCTATATGAAACAACTACTTTCCTGGCTATATGCCACGACGAACATTGAATTATATCTATTGAACACACACGAAATGGTTTCATTGCAATAAAGTCATATAACCTGTGTGTGAGAGATAATATCTTCCATATCACTGATATGAATGATTATTTTTGGAAGTTTTCGAACTCATCAAGATCAGAGTTTATGCCAGTATACTTCTCCTATACATTGCAATTCTCATTTCAATGCTGAATATATTGGTAAGTTATATTTCTATATCATTATATACACCATATTATTCATCCGATTTGAGAAAGAATGTCAATTCTCAATTTCGGAGGATTTTATTCCCTATTTTTCTTGTTCTCTTTTTGGATGTTCATCAGATATAATTCAATGTTCAACGTGGCAAATAGCCAGGAAAGTAGTTGTTTTCTGTTGAATATTCAGAATGATATGTGCATATACATATTTTTGTCTGAAGGACAAATTCTCAATTTCAGAAGATTTTATATTTTATTTTCAAACTCTTATCGTGTGTGTTCAAAATTCGTCGTGGCATATAGCCAGGAAAGTAGTTGTTTTATTTTGAATAAACTGAAAAAGAGAATGCGAATTCTCAATGTATTGCTTTATATAAATATATATCCATTTTTGTGAGTTCATAATTTATCTGAGAATATTCCTTTTCAACCCTTTCATTGTGATTTTTATAGACCTCTAATCGCAGATTCGTGATAAAGTCTCAATTCAGAATTTATTTCCACGCCCTGTATGATGAATGTCAATTTATCATACACCCGAGAGATATTTTTTTATCGAAAAATATTTTTCGGGGAAATTAAAGAAAGCAGACTGTTCATGAATGCGCTGATTAAACGTACGACCTGTCTGACCAATATATACCTCAGTACAAGATCCACAGTTGAATTTGTATACCTTTGATTTTCCGAATTCAGAAGTTTTGTATTTATTATTCTTGATAAACTTTCCCAACGTGTTATATGCTACTTTTGACTTCTGTTTATAGATGTATGTATGTAGAAATGAGGCTAATTTTTTAGTTGATGATCCAAAATAGGTGAAAGTTCTTTAATTTTGATAATTATTCTTGATGTTAGGATAAACTTCTTGAATAGCTTTATCATGAAGTTTTTCAGAAAGAATACTGTCTATCAAATCAACGTTGTTTCCGGTGTTGGCTGCAATCTGTTTTATGATATTGAGTTCTTTATTTAAATTTACTTGCTGAAATTTTTATGGATAACTTGGAGCGAATATCACATGAACATTCATCAATAAAACAATGTTTCTATAGGTAAAGATACGTAGATGATGTTGTATGCTTTAAAGGAACCAATTGACAATCAAACACTTTCCACCAATATATAAATACTATTCATCCATACATAAAATTCAGAATAGAAATAGAAAAAGAAAATCCAATCAATTTCTCAGATTTGACAATAAGTAGAATCGATGATAAACATGATTTCTCAATTTTCCATAAACCTTCTCACACTGATATCACTATTCATAATAATTCAACACACCCTTATCAACATAAAATTGCAGCATATGATAGTATGATATACAGGCTAGAGAATGTCCCTCTGTTGGAAGTAAATTTCAATAAAGAACATAGGAAATAAAGGAATGAAACTAAATCATTTTGAATCATTAGAAATCAACAAATTCAAATATTCTGACATTTTACTCAACGATCAATTAGACATCAATAGTTCACCAGTGTTGAATTTGTTTTCTTAGTAAGTAAGAATATGTATTTGATATCAACCCTTTCAAGTTGTGTTGTGTTAATTGAAGAATAATTTTGTTTCAATCTTCCAGACAATGTGAAATTCTCAGTGTTTTGCTTTCCGTGGCTTATACAGGGTGTCCCTAAACCAGAGACATAGTTGAATGCGTCTTGAACGAATGGCTAAAACTTAAAAAATCCACGACCCCATGAGAGAGAAGAAACCAAAAACCATATACATGGGGTGCATCATAATATTTGGGATATGAACAACAATTAATACAGAAAAAATGACTAAATGACCCATTGATAATTACTAGGGATTGAGATAAGATAGTATATTCGAGCTTGAAGAGCAATTTGATTGGAGAGAATATCGTGTTACAAGAATTTCGAAAAAATCTCATCGTTATTGAAGTTTCCTTATAAAGTTATTATCGACTATGCTCCAGCGATATCCGACTTAAATACTATGTCTGTAGTTATTTAAAAAATATTTCATGTTATGAGGAATTCATTACAGCTCTTTCATACAAAACTTACCATAGAGTTTTCATCAATACTATCCAAACCCATCACTGTTACATGAAAATGAACAATGGTGGGGTTGCCGTCTCTTTTTGGAGGTCGCATTTTGTCATATTTACTTGGATCCACTGGCAAAATGTCGTGAATGGTGAGTCCAGTACTGAAAAAAAATCTGAATTTGGTAGTGTTTTGAATAATTTCAGATAGTTCTCCCAAAATTTCACATGATTGAACATATTACACTGATGAGGGTGTCCGGAATGATCATATCGTGAATAATAGGGATGATAGAGTGAGTCAAAATAATATTACCTTGAAATATGGAATAATAAAATAAATTCCATGTATAACTTATGAACGGTTGCCATGGTATTAATGATATTGTTGAATATAATTTCATTACAGGAAGGGACGAATTTTTCCTTCTTAATGACGGCATTTTTGACAGAGGTGACAAATTTGACACATCATCTGGTTGACAGGTTGACTGATTGGTATCAAACAAATCAATATGGTCCTAGCAGCAAAACACACTCTATGTATCATTATTTTATCACCTACCATACTATAATATAATGATACTACAATAGCAGGACTATATGAAAAATAAATGGAATGATAGAAGTATTGGGGATCTAAATATAAATTGAACAGGTATCATTCTTGAGCTATATACACCTTCCAACTTAAAATTCAGGCTCATCATTGAGAGTATTAACTGCCAAATTGGAATGAATACTCTGTAGAATGTAATTCAAATAGTTACCTATTCATTACCCTAATAACACAATTATGTCCCATGGATATCCTTAGGACGTCCTGTCCAGACGTCCATAGGACGTTCGAATTTGGTACCGTGGACGTTCATTGGACGTCTGTGGGACGCACAAATGTCCCACTTGAGGACCACTTAGAGACGTCCTTGAGGGACGTCCCTGGGGCAACTGTCGAGGAAAACCTTTCAGCAACGCTGAGGGATATCAATTGGATGTCCATAGGATGTCCCAAGGACGTACGAATTATTCTTGGATTCGAATTTTTCTGAGTCCCTCTAGAACCAGATCTTGCATAACTGATGAGGACATCCAGTTGAGTTGATGGTCCGTAGAAGGTCCCCAATAGATCCTGAAAAAGTTTCCCAAGGATGTCCAATGGACTTACGTGAAGAACATTGATGGGGAGTATTCATAGCCTGCGAGCAATCATTCGTCGGCGAGGTGTAAGTCAACGTCCTCGTAGGGACAACATATTGAAAGTACCGACTGGGACGTCCATAGGACGTCATTTCTAGGACATTGAATAATTATAGTTCATGTACCAATTAAGACATCCGAAGGATGTCCCTAAGGAACATTTCAATTTTTATACGATCCTGATGGAAATATTATGGGCGTCTGTGCAGAGATATTTGAAGATATGTACTATCAGGGACATTTCGTGGTTGTCTAGAAGGCGCATTATATAAGATATGAAGTCAAGCCAAAATATGTACTACTCGGGACATCCGATGGATGTCCCTAAAGGAACGTTTGAAATCATATCCCATCAGGGACATACCAAGGACGTCCTTGCATGGACATTCTACAATATGTACCACGTGGGACGTCTAAGGGATGCTATTTCTAGGACATTTGAAATGATGTACCAGCTGGGACATTCCGTAGACGAGATGGATGAGAAGTACGGGATGGGACGTCCCAAGGACACATATTTTTGGTTCGGGACATTCGGACTTGAATTGTACCAAATTGGGACGTCCCTAGGACGTTGTGTGCTATTAGGGTACAGAAGGGAGAACATTAGTAGATTCTAGCCTCAGGTTGTGTGGTCTCCTGACGCGTTGCGGAGGGAGACAAGAAGCCGTGAGCTAAAATCTAGTATTTTTCATTTTTTCCCGTGTATAATACCCTTTTTTTTGTGACAGGAAAATATCGAAATTAGAAGATTCGACGTGAAATTTGCAGGTATCTTTTTGTCGGCGTCTTTATCATTCTTTTGAAGTAATCAAATATCTATCTGTTAAGTAATTTACATAACCGCGAAGTGGAATGGAAGATAAAAATACTATTAGTTCTTTCTCAGAGGCGGTGTTAATGGCTTAATTTCCAGAAATGGCACAACAAATGCCATCAATTGTGCACCTATACGGGATGTTTCATGATTGAATGTCAATACCTATTCGAGGAGGCGATTCTTAGGCCCATTCTAAGAAGAAAGTTTCATATGAACTTATGACCTAAACGTTCTAACTTCTGAGATACAGGGTGGTAAAGTTCTCAAAGAATCGATATAGCCAACTACAATGAAAATTCATAATTTCAAAATACCAAATACAAATACGAAGTTCATAAACTATGAATTTTATTTCTGAAATTCGATCTGAGAAATAAAATCTATCTCTCTGCATTGTGATATTGTCATATTAACGATATTGCTATAATCATGTAGTGAAAAGCATTCTTTCAATGAAAACCGTGCATCAGATAGGAAAAATTGTAGTAATCAAATTTGCTTAGAAATGATTGGGAATTGCAAGAATCAAAATATGATACACTAACTGATGCCTCTCGATACGTAGTACATGTACGCCAAATTTCATTAGGATATCTGAAGCAGTATTACTGATATTAATAAAAACCTATTAATTTTTGAGAATTTTACCACCCTGTATCTCAAAAGTTAGGACGTTTAGGTCATACGTTCATATAGAACTTTCTTCTTAGAATGAGCCCAAGAATCGCCTCTCCAAATATTGACATTCAATTATGAAACACCCTGTATATCTGGAAAAAAAGTATTCTAAATATGAGACAATCAGGTTGCATAAATTGTATCTCATATGGAAGAACATGCAGACAATATTGAAAAGCGACAATACAGGGTGATTCACATAAGAACCGACATAGAGCAGGGGCAACTTACCTCTATACCAAGTTGCTTCCCTAAGGAGTAACAGGCTTTGAAAGTGAAGTTATAAATTTTGAAAAAATCAATATCTCCGTTATTCTTGAACTTGAAGCAACCAAATTCGGTACACTTTGTGGATGTATTCAGAGCGTTACTTGACAGTTACTAGAGCTCAATTGAAATTTGTAAAGGGGTTATACCGGGTGGCGCACCATTAATATTCAACAGAATTTTGTTAACCCTTGATGGATTTCAAAAATCTTGGCTTTGTTGTGTGGGCAATTCAATTCTGAAACTATTTTTACTCAAGTAATTTTTTGAAAAACCTCATCATTATCATCAAAAACTCGAATAACTGAAAACGCGCGCTATATAGGTGTGTTATTCAAAATCATCGAAAATTTAAAAGTTGGCTATGAAAATAAACGTACAACAAGGAAGTAGGTCATTAATTGTGATCAGTAGAAATTGGCTGGCAATTTTTTATTGAGAGACGTAACAAAATACGTAAAGTAAGTACAGATACTGAAATGTGAAAAACTGGGATTAACAACTAACCAAAATAAACACAAAAAACTTCAACAACAACCAGAACAAACAATTGTTCATCGATAAATTACTCAATTGAACAACTTACTTGCTTCATCGTCAAGTTTGACGTTTATTTTCATAGCCAACTTCTGAATTTTCGATTTTTTTAAATAACACACCTCTAGAGCACGCGTTTTCAGTTATTCGAGTTTTTGATGAAAATGATGAGGTTTTTCGAAAAATTACTAGACTAAGAAAAGTTTTAGAATTTAATTGCCCACAAAAGAAAGCAAAGATTTCGAAAATCCATCAAGGGTTAACAAAATTCTGTAGTGTATCAAATTTGGTTGCTTTAAGTTCAAGAATAACGGAGATATTGTTTTTTTTTCCAAAATTTATAACTTCACTTTCAAAGCCTACAACTCCTTAAGGAAGCAACTTGGAATAGAGGTAAGTTGCGTTAAATTGCCATATTTTGGGACCCCCTACATGCCCCTGCTCTATGTCGGTTCTTATGTGAATCACCCTGTATAGGCATCTGTTTGTGTTTGATACTATTGACTGAATTGCCATAAGTACTCAATCTGAAATCAAATTTCGATTCAAAAATGTTCACTCATATTGTTTACACATTCGAGAACGATTATTCCCAATCTGATCATTTATTTCCCAACCTGAATTTGAATTTGTTCATTTCTGATATGAGGAACATTGAGGATTTGAAGTTGAACAGGTATAGTAACTCCTAAAAATCTATTCAACCGGACTACTTACGCTATTTCTTCCTTTTCCTGTTCCACTTTCTCTGTCTTTTGTTCATAATAGAAATCTAGGGGACATAATCTATAAAGAATGATGAAAATAAAAATGATTTATCGGCAGCCGCAAGAATATTTCCACTCACGATATCTCAGCATCGATTGAACCCAGAAAAAGAAGAAACAAGAAAGTGTTCATCCTGTTCAGCTCTTCCATTTTTCGAATGCCATCCTAGTGTGACTGAAACAAAACTTTCATCAGTTTGGCACTATCGAAGGTGAGTCCATATATTCGTATCAGCAGAGAATTATTCAATGGACGTACAATTTATGGGGAAATATCGTTTGCTGACCAAAATTATCAGAGTATGCTGACCGATCATTTCTTGTTGGATTTTTTTCTTCAAATTGCATACCTGGATATAATATAGGAATATAAAGAGATCACCAGTGGAATGATTCCGATTGACCCATTCAGAGAAGTAGTTGCTGTTTTTCAAAAATCCTGGCTGACCGAGTATTTCTGCTCTGTATTTCACCATCAAATATCAAGTCACATATTTGAATATTTTATGGGCGTATAAAGATGCCACCAGAGGAATTACTCTGATCTATCCCTTCAGAGGAAGTTTATTTTTTGCTAATTTATTTTTTATTTCTGCTGACCGACCATTTCTGGTTCGTATTTTTCCTCCCTCATCCTTTCAGAGGGGCTGTTTTTAAAAAATTCTTGTTGACCTTGCATTTTTGGTGATTATTCCTTCTTCCAATTGCATATTTGAATATTTTATAGAGATGTATATTGAAGGAGTTTATTGAAATTATTCCACTTCATATTTCCATAAAATATTAAAATATGTGATTTGATGAAAAAATACGAACCAGAAATACTCGGTCAGCAAGGATTTTTCAAAACAGCATGTACGATCTAATCCTTTTAGGTGGTGGATCGAAGTTATTCCACTGGTGGCATCTATAAATCTATATATAATTTGAAATATGCAATTTGATCCGAATCAGAATTGCTCGGCCAGCAAGGATTTTTGAAAAACAGAATGAATTAACTACCCTTCAGAAGGGTTTTATCGGGATTTTTCCACTAGTGGCAATTTTGAAAACAGTCATAATAAAATATACCTCTGAAGGGGTAAATCGAAAATATTTCACTGGTGTCATCTATGTAGGTATCTCTATAAAATATTCAAATATGCAATTCGAAGCAAAAATACGTTTCAGAAATGCTCGGTCAGCAAGAATATTCAAAAAACAGCAGGAATTAACTACCCCCCTGAAGGAGTTGATCGAAATTATTTTACTGGTGGCATCTATATATCTCTATAAAATATTCAAATTTCCAATTCGAAGAAAAATTACATCACATTTCTCTTAATTTTCATTACAGCATTCCCTGAGCTTGAGCCGGTCCTGTACTCATTAGATTGACACAAGTTTGGTTCGTCTTCTTCTCCATTTTATCATGAACAGTTTATCTTCTTCTATATTTTTTGGCAGTTCTTATTACCGTTCCGCGTGTGTCTCTGTCATCAACCCAAATGTTTTTACATTGTTATCGGATGTTTATATAATTTCCGTATTTTCATTATTAAGGGTCTTTTGGGTGTAGAGCTCCATTTTTCATATGATTGATTGTCATTCAAACATTTTTCATTCTGTGTTTGAAATTGTCAATATTGTCTTGTCAATGTCAAATCACCACTTTCAAATGTTACATTTCTGTGTCTTTCCTTTGATGGTTTGATTGCAGTCAGATGGAGCTCACTTGAGTAGATTTTTAATTAATTTCTTTTCCTGATGTTGAACTTACTTACATTGTAATGTTCTTTTGGCTTTTCAGCCGTTACAAAGCTTGTTGATTGTGAGGCTGGACTGATCATTAAGACGATCCGATTTTTACTGATAAAATTGTTTTTGATTGTCAAGATGTTTTTCCACATAACAGGTGTGTCAGATAATCTTCCGTCCACAACGTGCTGCTATTCAAACTGATCTAAGTCAGTAGCAGAGCTTCAATCTTTCCGTGAATATTTCGCCCTAATCGAAAGATAATATCCGATGGACCCGTGTAAAACTCATGGTGCTCACACTACAAGTATTCTAATCCACATGTTGAGTTTCACAGTGGTGCATCGGATATTACCTTCAAGGGGATGCGAAATATTATAGGAAGTATTGACGCTCTGCCACTAAATCAGATCAGTTTGAATCGCGGCACGTTTGGATATTCGCAAAGGCTACATCATCCCCTTTCAATTACTCATTATTTCAACTTGCTATCACATGACGAAATATATGTTCAGAATAATAGCAGCAAATAAATCGCTGTGGCGTGAATTTGACTCAGACTGAGGGGCGGCACAGCTAGGTAGGGTTTTGATATCTGATGCCATGCAATTGGTATCGAATTGCATAATTCTCATCTCGTTATCGAGTCGCGAAATCTAAAGCTGAATTGTCGCACAGGAAAGTGCAATTTTTCAATCATTTCGGTCAGGATAGAGATTCGCACATGTGCAATCATTTAATTATCAGATGACGGTCAGAATTTTCAGCCGGCTCTTGGACTATATCATTAATGCACCTTCATATCACTCAATATTATTCAGATGGTTCAGATTTTGTCAATTATTACCAGAATGAAAAATAAATATGACTTCGCTTTGTCTGAAAATCCGATGTAATAATGAAATCTATAGTAAATTATTTCGTCATGCAATCAACTATTCTCATTTCATCATGAATCTTTTATGTAAGCTGATTTGAAGAATTGATATGACACCAAAAATTACGGATTCAGGTATGTACGCCGCCTTAGAATTGGTTCCAAATTCAGTATAAGCTGAAGGTCCTGCTCTTCCTAACCCCGCACTAGTTTCGACTTCTAGGGAATTGATTTCCACCTTCAAAGTAGCGATAAACAACTTCGACATTTTTATACAAATTTCACATCCTGTATATTCAGGAGAATTGTTATTTTCCAAATATAGCTGATAGGTACCGTATAAATATGATTTCGTCAGGGTATATATGGTGTTCATGAAGATTTTCAATGCAAAAGTCACAAAATATCAACTTTACCGAAATCACCCTGTAACTCATAATTCATAACACATACCCAAACAAATAAGTTGACTCTTGAATCTTCATTCATAGTTCTCTTTTGACAGTTCAATGTAGATTATCGAGGACCATGCAATGTTATCAGTATAATACCAAATGATTGGCTGGCTGAAATAACGGATTGCTATACTTTGAAACAATGAAAACGTCATATTTTGACATGTGAAAAAAATAATCATTATACACAGGAATCAAATATTTTTTCTACCAATAATGTTGTTTCTTCATTGTTGAATATCATTTATAGAACGCTCCTAGCTATAGCTTCGCTTAGTTTTTTTTTAATGTATCACATGCTATTTTTCCATACGAATAAATGTAACTATCTAGGTGATTGTGCTACATTGTGAATTAAGAAAATGATGCTGAACCAAAGAAAGAGGAAAAATCATTCCATATCAAAAAAAGTTTTCCTCATGCTCCGAATGGTGATTTTGTATTATTTCGTGATGTTTTTCAAACAATTGGAACGTTTTTTATTGAAGAACCTGTATAGAATATAACTCACTCCTTATCTATTGAAGAATATCCGAGCACTAATTTCTCCGAACTCAAGAAGACCCATGATCAGAACAATCTAACGATGTCTAAACCAAACGTCGCTGAACTGAAATTTTCAAGTTTGCTGAAAGTCTTCTTATACTCCTCCCGAACCCAGAGAGAGCTTGCGTCCTCTCAATCACATCATTCATTGCGACTCTTCTCCATTCTCCATCGGATACGTTGAATATACGTACACAGGAAGGAAATATTTGATACTATTAACAGAACGGGTTCTTAAACGAATTTAACAAAACATTATTTCAATGTAACTGAATTTATCTTTATCATCAGCATAAAATTCATCACGAAATGAGAAACAAGAATCGTACATAATCTTCTTTAATTTCAGAATTCATTTCTGTTCGTATGTGTTCTCGTTTTGAAGTGATATTCATTTCATTTACATAATGTTCTTTGATATTAATGAATACACTCCACATGAAAATACCGAAGATTCTGTTAATATCATTGTTTCTTCTCTGCCATCCATCTCCATATTCTTGATGAGATTTCTCTACTAATAACACATTTCTGTATCAAAAGAATAGAATATTTTATCGGAATAGACAAAAATTAAATGTTTGATAAGTTCACGAATATGTCTATAATATTGTAAGAACTGTATACGAAGTGATTATCCTGAAAGAATATTTTGTGTAAATAACAAATAGTTTTATTCCATTTGAATATACGTTTGGGACACTATGTCATATTCATTCATTCAGGGCAAACCCGCTATTTTGAATCGATTGCTTCTGGCACTACTAAAGTCCTCATCAACATTCCTGCTCCAAGTGCATTTGTGGTTATGTATGTTTTTGTTTAGGTACCAGTTTCACTTCTTCTTTCATTTTTTTCAATCGTTTTTCATTCGTTAGCTATTCGCTAGCTATATTCTTCACCATCAGTTATTTCCAGACTAGACTCATAATGTACGTCATAGTTTGCCGCCCCAAAAATTTGAGATTGCTTTAGTTTTAAAATGAAAACGACTTGGACTCTATCGGTTACCATTTTGTACAGCGTGGACATAAAACTGGAGAGTTCGGAACTCATTTTATGAAAATTCATCTGAAGGAAACTTGCCCATTGTTCTTTGTAACTACTGGAATTTTCTCTACACCCTATACATATATATATATATATTTTCTTTTTTTTTTTCGTAATCTGATCACGTCTGAATCTTCAAGTTCTTATTAGTGTATTTTGGGCATTATAAAAGTGATCACCCACCTTGTATCATCACAAGATATAGAACCACATACAACATTTACTCACCTATACAGAGCGATTCAAAATTACATGCAAAAATGCCAAGGACATATCGTTGGGATGAAATTATGACATCTTCTTCATATTATTGTCACGATATAATAGATGGTTAGCCCATCCATATCGATTTATAAGGGGTTAGTTTTGCTTAATAGTCTGCGAGAGGTAATATTCGAATAGGCACTAATAGTTTGGGGGTAGCTGAAAGTTCGATACTATATTCGAACATAATAATATTTATTGAAGCATGAAACATTATGGGTAGTGATGATGAATATGATTAAACAAGAATGAACATAAAGACCTAACAACAACTCACATTATAACGACCATCGCGACGAGCCGTTACCACCGATAAAACAAGGCCAGCAGACTCTGACGTAAACAGCTCGTGACGTCGCATACTCAGGCCATCTTCCAAGGCATTTGCGTCGATCGATCGTCAGTTTGTTTTTGTTTAAGAACGGTGGCGTAGGTAAATCGCGTGTGCATTCTCTTGTTGTTTATTCATCAAAATAATTGGCGGAGAAATTACCGTTTTGTGAAATATTTCGTGTTGTGATAGGCGAAATAACAATGCCTTACAAGTGTTGTGTTCCCTTTTGTCGGGGGAATTATGTGGGCTCAGTTGATGGCTGGCATCCTCTTTCAACCGGAAGATCTTCAAAAAAAAGAGCAAAATCGGCTCAATAATGATCTAAAACTAAAATCGAAATACGCGGTCGCCTTATAGCACTATAAGCGCTTGTCGTTTCGAGCCGCTGGTTAGGCCTGACTAAGTGACGTCACCCACGGAGCATGCAGGCCTTGTTTTATCGGTGGTAACGGACGAGCTCTTGTCAAGTCAAGAGTAGCCACAGGCCAGACTAACTTCGGAACCCTCACATCCAATATTTTATATACATCATTTTATTAGATATGCACGTTTCTCATGAGAGTTCCTTGGTCAGTTCTTATAATTCAATGTTCTAATCGTGACATTATCATGTGTCCTGAAATGCACATCCTCCGAGCTTATAAAAGTGGGGACACCCTTCCAACTCCCCCCAGAAAACGAGTTTATATAATTATTGAAGCAAGAAGGGAGAACAGTGTTTGAAAAAATAGGAGCATGACAATTTTCAGAAGATTTGATATGTTATTTTTAGTCATAATTTTAGATCATCTTTTTTTTTCACTCAACTCACAGTGGCTATAGCTTAGGGGGATGGGTGCATCTTAGGACACATATTTATTTGGAGAAAAAGTCTTATTTTGATACCAATAATATGACCTTGGAATATTTACATCGAATTTTGAATCACCCTGTATGATAGAGGTACATAGTTTGATGCAGTTTTATGGAAACAGGTAATCTAATTTTTGGTGAAGTTTCATATGTGACAAAATAATTCAACTTTTGGCGAAAACTCTTTCAATTCGCCAAAAAATGGCGGAGTGGAATGATAATAAAATCATAGAAATAGAAGATCACATCCATAAAAGAAAAATTATACTTGGTGTTCACTCATGAAACCTTTGTATGAAAACGGTGAATACAAACACAAACCGAGGGATACTCTGTAATTTACACATATTACTTTGAGAACTGTCAAAAACCAGAAAACGAAGAGTCAATAATGGAACCTACCTACTCCTTTTCGAGGCGTAAAAAGTTTGTTTTCTCTACCGAGGTAGCTTTCGCCATTTTATGATCAACTAGTTAATAAAGACATAGCCAAGGTCACCTCTATTATAATTTACTCGAATTCACTGATCTGGTGCAAGATTCGCAGGAAAGGCAATAGAATCTATATATAGTAGGTATTTTCCAATATGCTGTCATGGTCATGGCTGCTAGATTTTGATTAAAATTGAAGAGAACTGCTTTCATTGCGACAATTGGTCCATATTTCAATTTCACAAAACTACTTATAATGATTCCTATATCATCTACTATTGGTAAAAATATTGTAATTTACACCTAGATGTATAAATAACTATGATCGATTCATGTTGATGGTTTAGGCAGGTGACTATGTTTGCATTATTATTCAGTGTTTTATTAAAATATTACCTACTTGTCAGCATGAATTACATAATCCAGTTTCTCAAAGACTTTCTGAAATAAAATCAACTTTACTATAATGAAATCACTGACATTGACGTGCAAACTGTGTTTGAATAAAAATCCATCTTCATGAATACTAATAAGTATGGCATGGAATTTGAAGTACCCTGTAGAGTGTTACAGTTAGATTATCAAGTTAGAATTGAAATAACACTTCAGCCCTATCTTTTTCCTACATTCCTTATCAAGATTAACTTCAGTGTCTTTCCTATTACTCCAGAACACAATTTCATAGCATAACATGATTTTATTGGATTCAATCAGCACGTAAGTAGCAGGCTATGGCACTGGGGAGGAATTTCTTTGACAGATCATAAATGGGAGCCTTACAGCTGAAAGGTACATATTGGAGATTTGAGAAGCACATAATAGTGTGAGGATCTTTGTTCATGAAAGATCGAAATAACTTTTCCAGATGGTGTCATATCAATTTTCAAAACTGAATTTGAATAAATGTCAAAAAATAACATTTTCACGAGATCATGATCGTATTCATCATATTTACAAAATTGATGAAACTAATCTATCATTAACCAATACAATCAGAGGCTTAGGATTAATATTCGACTCGAAAATGACCTTCAAACATCACATAATAAAAACACCATCTCGTGCTCGTGAAATGCTAGGCTTTTCCCTTCATTCATCTAAAGAACTATCTGTTAATACTCCTAATAGTATATTGTGTATCTAGTGCGTGAAGTATACTTTTTTACGCGAGTGTGGAAGTTTCCGCACGAGTGTAAAAAAGTCTTCACGGACGTGGGGCACACTATACTTTTTCTACGACCTTTTACTTAGAGAATGAATTAAAGGAAAATTTGACTGATTTTCTTTATTTCAATAATAATTATTATGAACAGTTATATTGCAATTTTGTAAATTGTCAAAATGTACATTTACTTTGTCTTTCTCTACAAAATTAGTGCTACCTAGACCAGCGACAGGTGTGTGAATTTGTATTGACTCTTATGGCACCGGTGCGTGAAATAAATCCCATAAGAAAAGCATGGCACTTCACACACCGATTCGTGAAATGAAGCTTTACACATTTTTATCGATGTGTAAAGTTAGTAATTCACAAACGGGAGTAGAAAAAATTATTTATTGTGCACAGGTGAGGTCTATTCTTGAATATAATCCTTCGACCTGGTCACCATTTCACAAAGTTGATTCTGATCTTAGGGGGTTGTTAAAATTAATTTTTAAGAAATAATACATAGAAGATTGGAAATTGATTTATTAGTCCTCCATAAAATGATCAATGGCTACATTGATCCTCCTGAAATTGTTGCTCTGACTACGCTTTCCGCAAATACTAGAAGAAACAGAAATGGTGACATTTTTAAGATACCATGTAGGACAAATCATGGCCAAAATGAATCCATGAATGGAATTACAACAACAACCGTTCGGCAGAGACTGATTCGAATTTGAGAGGACGTGGATCAAAATGACATAAGATCTCTTATTTTGAGTATGCTTGTCTTTGCCAAGAAGATATTCGTGCCCGAGGCAGCAATACTCGGTATTGACCATTTCGTTCAACTAGTGACTATGCATTATATTCCTTTTTGTTTTCGTTGTTGAAGTTGGATATTAATATTCCAGAAAATCATGTTCCTCGACATAATGAGGTGAATCCAGACAAGAAATGTCCAAGAAAGATATA